GTACTAATCTGAGGTGAACAGCTCTCAGAGCGCCTTGCTGTGAAACTCAACAGAAAAGTGTACTCCATGAACAGCAACGAACCAGAATAAAATTTTCATTTATGTCACGTAAAAAAACATTAACCGTTTTTTGAATGTTCTTACTCTGCGACAACAACAAAAAAAAAAAATAATAAAATAAAAATAAATAAATAGAAATAAAAATAAAAACAAATAATTAAATAAATAAACGACCGGTCTACAAATGTCGTCTAATATTTTTTTCTGTATTTTATTTTAAAATTATTTCTTCAATGTCATTAAAAAAATCAGTACATCTTTGTAGAGAGTAACTTCATATTTCAGTGCATAGATCAATGGAATAAAAGAGTTTTTATAAGAGCTTTTTACCCCGCAAAACAATTAGATTAAGAATTACGACATCACGCGTATCTGAAAATAAACTGACAATAGTAGTGTTGGGATCAACCGTTTCCCCGAAGGAAACATTAGGAATTAATTAACCAAACATTTAACATTACTGTCGACTAAAATTTATAAAAATCTTCATCTTGAAATATTTTTCAGGAAAACAGACTTCACAAATCATTTAACTGCTATCGCTCTTTACACTATTAATACAAAAAAAAAATATCATTTCAGAAGAAAAATGGTTGGAACTTTCATAGAGACAGTTGAGGAGTATTCGTAGACTTATTGAGCGTTGATTGATTCGGCTGGTGATTGAACCCAGGACCTCTCGCGGTCGAAGCAAGCGTGATAACCACTAAACTAAGCAACCAACTGTGCGGCATTAGGTAGCGGCTCGGATTGATGAGTCGGAGAGCCGAATTCCAGTCAAATCCATTGCATTTGCTTACGTGCTAATACCCTTGGGAAAGGTATGAATCGTCTTCTTCTCCCTCCCCAGCTATGGGTAAATAGCAGGAGAGACCGGGTTATATAGCCTTGGATGGCAACAGGTCTACAGCAGAAAGAAATGGCAACCTACTGCGGGAGAAAAATCTGCCTCGTCAGTCATGTATAGAAAGCTACATGATCGCGTAAGCGTGTATCACGCATAGCACATAAATAACTGATAATTACTTACGTGCTAATACCCATGGGAAATGTATGAATCCTCTTCTTCTCCACTAGCTATGGGTAAATAGCAGGACAGACCGGGTTCTATAGCCTTGGATGGCAACAGGTCTACAGCAGAAAGAAATGGCAACCTACTGCGGGAGAAAAATCTGCCGCGTCAGTCATGTACTGAAAGATACATGATCGCCTAATTATCACACATGGCACAGAACTGACTGAGTGAGTGTTGAGGTGTATGAGGTGTTTCGTCAGTAGAAACCTTTGTAGCGAAGCTGTCGACCCTGCTTTACTCATGTGATACGGAACTGTACTGGTTCACTGCCTTCATCGAACTCTCACACATAGCTCCAAGAAGTTGCATGGATACTACGATGCCTACACGCCGGTGAACGGCATCTACATACCGGTTAAACTGTATGAAGGTTTTCCGACGCGAGCTGCGCCAAGCGGCCATAGGCCAATCGCCTGCCTGGGCGTAGGAGCTGCGCCTCAGAGGCTTTACCATTGGGTGGAGGAACTTTTGAGATGACAGAGTGGGTAAACTCATCATACCCGTTACAAATGGAACCGGCAAGCCATTGCAATATTTTGTTTTGAATATCAACAGATTATTTTGTTTCTTTTTAGATTAATAAACAGATGCATTCAACACGTTTCCAAATTTCTGTAGAGAATTTACAACCAAAATATTAAACACTATTTATTTACAAGAATAATCTTATATTTTCAATATCTGTCTATATTTCTGAGATGAGGTATTATGCAAACTATTTACATTATTCGGACTATTGTTCTCATCTTTGTCGCCATATTTATTACAACGTTTCGGCCTTTCAGTATCTGTCTGTATTTCTGAGATGAGGTATTATGTACATTATTTACATTATTCGGACTATTGTCCTCATCTTTGTTGCCATATTTATTACAACGTTTCGGCCTTTGTACGCTCCGGCCTTCTTCAGGTGGTTGGAATCTCGAACTGAACCTTTCATTTCACTCACTGGGGTAGACTGTTTTAGTTCCACGTACCATGTTTAATGGATGTCAGTTATCAGTAATCTCCTGTTAATTCCCCTCTCCAAGTTCTTCATTGTCTTTATCCAATGTCCTCAAGGACTCACAATATGCAGTTAAGTGAGTGGAGCTTGGAATAATGTAAATAGGAGATAATAAACATCTCAGAAATATAGACAGATACTGAAAGGGCGAACATTGTAATAAATATGGCGACAAAGATAAGGACAATATTCTGAATAATGTAAATAGTGTATATTGTACCTCATCTCTGGAATATAGACAGATACTGAAATCCATTAAACATGTCACGTGGAACTAGAACAGTCTACACCAGTGACCGAAATAAAAGGTTCAGTTCGACATTCCAACCTCCTGAAGAAGGCTGTAGCGTACAATGGCCGAAACGTTATATTTACAACTTTCTAAAAAAAATAATACAATTAGAATTGTTACAAGGCAATATTTATCATTAAACCAATTTATAAAGAAATAAATGTGAAAACCATTTTTTATCCATAAATTTATAAACATTTACTAAATTAGTAAAATATTAGTGCACCGACTGTAAGGAAATTCTTATTATTTACCATTTTATCAAGTTTGAATCATTTGGCAATAAATCGATGTTTTGCCAATCATTTTAATAAATAATCTAATAAATAGTTTTTATTAATTTTTTTGTCAATTCTAAAGAACAAAAAATGTAAAAATTAATTTTCATATGTTTAATTTTTATTCTAGTTCTAATCAAAATTGAAGGTAATTTACAAAAGTGATCTATCATGGTGTTTTTGGTATCAGAGTCGTTTACAAAATTGGCATCATTCGTCCTTTTGACATTCCATGTTATTGCGGGCATGTCTATCCATGTTTGCCCAGTACCCTTCATTCAATCCACAGCTAGAGTGTTCTCATTCAAGTATCCATGCTTATGTCATATCAATTCGTATCAGCACTCACCAGTATTATCCACTTTTAATCCGCTTGTTCGTTTCTTCCGTTGAAAGAGTGAATATGATATTTTAGCAGTAACAGATTCAAAGATTGAACTCAAAACCCAGAAAGCTTGAGAACCAGAATGAGCAACCCCCACCCCCTTATGGGCTGAAGAAAGCGCTTGGTTCGAAATTCCAAGAAGGTTACTAAATATGAAGAAGACGGGAAAGTATAGTGAATGAAACGTTGGCAGTATAGCAACCAAGATCAACCTGCTTGAAACATTTTTTAGGAAAAGAGTTAAAAACGTTTTTCACGAAACGAGGCTTAAAGACCTTTTTAGAAAACGAGGCCTAAAACATTTTTCAGGAAACGAGGCTTAAAACATTTTTCAGGAAACGAGGCTTAAGACATTTGTCAGGAAACGAGGCTTAAAAACATTTTTCTGGAAACGAGGCATAAAACATTTTTCTGGAAACGAGGCTTAAAACATTTATCAGGAAACGTGGCTTAAACATTTTTTGGAAAATAGGCTTCTTAAATCAACTAACTGCTATCGCTCTTTACAGTATTGACCGGGGGGGGAAGCAATAATTCATATTTAAATAGAAATACGTTATTAACACACTTTTCGCCATGTTAGTTCATATTACAAATCTCATAACCAATTAGGCTTGTAGATGTACTTCACGTAAAAGAAATAAATTATTCTGATTAAGATGTTAGTTATCTGATAAAAAATGGAAACAATTTGGTTTAGACACAAGGAACAGACATGTAATGTAATATATACCCCAGTCTCCTGGATAATGTTATCAATTTAACCAGGTAAATCGTTTGAGCTTTCTACCACGGTGAGAATCCTTATAAAACTAAAAGCAGCTGACGAAGTTGAAATTGTTGCTTTTGTTCCACCTGACCATTTGAGGTCAGTCATAGGCTTTTGTTTACAGTTTAATATATTGTTTGTGGAATAACGGTTCGGACAGAGGAATCGAAGAGTCGAGTTCGAATTCTGGTCGGGTACATTACATTCACTTCCGTACCTTAGGGAAAAGGTATAAATCCTCTTCTTCTCCCCCTCCTCCCAGCTATGCTTAAACAGCAGGATAGACTGGGTTCTATAGCCTTGGGTGGCAACCGGTCTAGGAGAAAGTAAACTCTGAATTCAAACCGTCCTGGAAAGAGTTGGGCTCCGTCAGGCTATCTTGCCCAAGAAACATTACTTCTACTGCAGTTGCAGTAGATGTGATACCCCTATGACTCTAATGGGTTATGGGATTCGCGAGTGTCTGTGTATTCAAGACAAGTTAAAGTGGTGCGATTACGAATATGGATTTGTTGCTATTATTTGGTTGAAAGATCAGACGTAGATCAGAAGACGCGTCTAGGGCAAGTCCATCCTTCTTCAGGCTAGCTTTGAATTCAGAATTTTCTTTCTTCCAAATGGGTTGCCGCCACAAAGCAAAACAGCCCAATCTCCCTTGCTATTTAATGTCCAGCTGAGTGGAGAGGGGGAAAGAAAAATAGAGATCCAAACTCTTCCCAAGGTTTCGCCGATTTCGATTCCTGCGTCACTGTTACACCACCTGCGCATCCAGCAGGTTTTCCGCCATTTTTTTTCGTTCCAGCAGTTCTTAAGCTTCCGATTATCGTTTTTGTTTTTTTTTGTAAAATTCTTTTGGCCTGATGAATGTTGATGTGATATTTTCCACACACCTTCACACGCTTTCAGAACTCTTCCATCAAGATGGTTCTGTAAACTCTGGAAGATTTGGTAATCAGATGGAAAATGCTCTGAACAATAACTAGCGTGCAGTTTTCTTTCTAACCAAGGCCTTCAATCTTTTCAGCTGTGATCATTGATGTGTGAAACCCTGCATTAACATGATGGTACATCACACCTTGGCGATTGACCAAACTCTGCATTATTCCCTTCAAAGCAGTCTTTAAAGAGTCTGAAAATGGAAGTCAGCTATAATCCTTTCCTTCCTTCCTTCCTTCCTTCCTTCCTTCCTTCCTTCCTTCCTTCCTTCTGCCCTTCTGCCCTTCCTTCCTTCATTCAGTCCTTCCAATGTCCAGAACAGTCTTTTCATATCTATCTATCTATCTATCTATCTATCTATCTATCTATCTATCTATCTATCTATCTATTTATCTCAGTCTGTTCATATCTATCTAGTCACTTAATATCTATCTATCTATCTATCTATCTATCTATCTATCTATCTATCTAGCTCAGTCAATTCATATCTATCTAGTCGCTTCATATCTATCTATCTATCTATCCATCTATCTATTCATCAGTCAATTCATATCTATCTAGTCGCTTCATATCTATCTATCTATCTATCTATCTATCTATCTATCTATCTATCTATCTATCTATCTATCTATCAGTCTGTTCATATCTATCTGGTACATTCGTATCTATCTATCTATCTATCTATCTAGCTCAGTCTGTTCATATCTATCTAGTCGCTTCATATCTATCTATCTATCTATCTATCTATCTATCTATCTATCTATCTATCTATCTAGCTCAGTCTGTTCATATCTATCTAGTCGCTTCATATCTATCTATCTATCTATCTATCTATCTATCTATCTATCTATCTATCTATCTATCAGTCTGTTCATATCTATCTGGTACATCTGCATCCATATCTATCTCATCTATCTATCTAGCTCAGTCTGTTCATATCTATCTAGTCGCTTCATATCTATCTATCTATCTATCTATCTATCTATCTATCTATCTATCTATTCATCTATATCTATCTATTCATCTATATCAGTCTGTTCTTTAACTATCTGGTATATCTATCATCTATCTATCTATCTATCTATCTATCTATCTATGTGGGCTCTTCATTATCTATCTATCTATCTATCGATCGATCGATCGATCGATCGATCTTATCTATCATTTGGTTCATATGTATATAAATCAATTCATATTTATCAATTCCATGCTCTCTTTCTCTCTTACTTCATGCCTATCTATCTATCTATCTATCTATCTATCTATCTATCTATCTATCTATCTATCTATCTATCTATCTATCTGTATATGTATCTATCTGTCTATCAATTTTGTTATTACCTATATAAATCAGTTAATATCTCTCATTCTCATTTTCTATTTCTTTTTCTCTGTCGTTATTAGTTCGCTCGTTCTTTCTTTCTTTCTGTATTTTCTTGCTTCCTTTCCATTTGTCAATCGCTGTCTTTTCATATCTATCTATCTATCTATCTATCTATCTATCTATCTATCTCTTCCTCCCCTTCTTTTCAATCTCGTCAATTTCTTCATATCTTGTCTATATATCACTCTAAACCAATTCATATCGTACCCTTTCTCTCTGTCTGTTCCCGTCTTCCTTTTTATCTCTCTGGTGATCTTTACCTCTTTAAGGAAGATTCTGTTTCTTGAACAATCTTTCTCTCTCACCCTGTCTCGGACCATCTCTCTCCTTTCTCTCTCTCTCTCTCTCTTAGTCTTTCTTTTCTTTCTTTACACACATATCTACTTTACACACACAGGTGCGCAATATTTTAGAAAAAAAGAGGTAAAAATGAAAAAAGACTGCTTCAATTGGTACCTTTTTTTCAGGAAGATTCACAGACAGATTATCACACATGAACAATCCCAGTTACAAATACACACCCTGTCTGAGGACCATCTTTCTATCGGGTAGCTTTTTTTTCTATCAGTTATCTTTCTCTCTCTTTTTCTCTCTCTGTCTCTCTCTCTTCTTTTTTTTCTTTCACACACACACACACACACACACACACACACACACACATTTTCACACACGTTCACTGCTTTACAATATAATCAGTTTAAATAAACTTACCCTTAAATGTTAAAAAATGAAAAGCATTCTTTCTTTCTTTCTTTCTTTTTTCTTTTTTAACATTTTTTAACGAGGGGACCAACAACAGATGTGAGTCAAATTATCTTTCTTTCTTTCTTTCTTGACTGGGGCTTTCTAGTAGAGGTAGAGGAGGAGCTTTTTTCTTTCTTTCTTTCTTTTTTTTTTCTATCTATATTATCTTTCTCTCTGGTTAAAAAACTACCTTCGCCGTGCAGATGTTCTTTGCTTTCTCTTTCTTTTCTTTTCTTTCTTTCTTTCTTTAGAGGGCTATCACCTCCTCTTCTTATCTTTCTTTCTTTCTTTCTTTCTTTCTTTTTTCTTTCTTTCTTTTTTCTTGATTCAAGATTAACCTCCGCTATGGATCTTTCTTTCTTCTTTTCTTTTTTCTTTCTTTCTTTCTTTCTTTCTTTCTTTAATTGATCATTTTTCTTTTCTACTTTTCTTTCTTTCTTTCTTTCTTTCTTTCTGAGGCTTTCTTTCTTTCTTTCTTTCACATATGAGAGGGCTATCACCTCCTCTATATTATCTTTCTTTCTTTCTTTCTTTCTCTTTCTTTCTTTCTTTTTTCTTTCTTTTCTTTCTTTAAACATATAGAGGGCTATCACCCCCTCTATATTATCTTTTTTTTTCTTTCTTTCTTTCTTTCTTTCTTTTCTTTCTTTACACATAATCATCACCTCCTCTATATTATCTTTCTTTCTTTCTTTCTTTCTTTCTTTCTTTCTTTCTTTTTCTTTCTTTTCTTTCTTTCTTTACACATATGAGAGGGCTATCACCTCCTCTATATTATCTTTCTTTCTTTCTTTCTTTTTTCTTTCTTTCTTTCTTTCTTTCTTTCTTTCTTTACACATATGAGAGGGCTATCACCTCCTCTATATTATCTTTCTTTCTTTCTTTCTTTCTTTTCTTTTTTCTTTCTTTCTTTCTTTCTTTCTTTCTTTACACATTTACAGGGCATCCCTCCTCTATATTATCTTCTTTTCTTTTCTTTCTTTCTTTTCTTTCTTTCTTTCTTTAAACATAGAGTGCTATCATCTATATTTCTTTCTTTCTTTCTTTCTTTCTTTTTCTTTCTTTCTTTCTTTCTTTCAATATAGGAGCTATCACCTCCTCTATATTATCTTTTCTTTCTTTCTTTCTTTTTTCTTTCTTTCTTTCTTTCTTTCTTTCTTTCTTTCTTTACACATATGAGAGGGCTATCACCTCCTCTATATTATCTTTCTTTCTTTTCTTTTTTCTTTCTTTCTTTCTTTCTTTCTTTCTTTCTTTTTTTCTTTCTTTCTTTACACTTTAATCACCTTTTCTATATTATCTTTCTTTCTTTCTTTCTTTCTTTCTTTCTTTCTTTCTTTCTTTCTTTCTTTCTTACTTTCACCTTTCTTTACATAGAGAGGGCTATCACCTCCTCTACCTTTATCTTTCTTTCTTTCTTTCTTTCTTTCTTTCTTTCTTTCTTTCTTTCTTTCTTTCTTTACACATATGAGAGGGCTATCACCTCCTCTATATTATCTTTCTTTCTTTCTTTCTTTCTTTCTTTCTTTCTTTCTTTCTTTCTTTCTTTACACATATGAGAGGGCTATCACCTCCTCTATATTATCTTTCTTTCTTTCTTTCTTTCTTTCTTTCTTTCTTTCTTTCTTTCTTTCTTTCTTTACACATATGAGAGGGCTATCACCTCCTCTATATCTTTTTTCTTTCTTTCTTTCTTTCTTTCTTTCTTTCTTTCTTTCTTTCTTTCTTTCTTTCTTTACACATATGAGAGGGCTATCACCTCCTCTATATTATCTTTCTTTCTTTCTTTCTTTCTTTCTTTCTTTCTTTCTTTCTTTCTTTACACATATGAGAGGGCTATCACCTCCTCTATATTATCTTTCTTTCTTTCTTTCTTTCTTTCTTTCTTTCTTTAAACATATGAGAGTGCTATCACCCCCCCTCTATATTATCTTTTTTTTTCTTTCTTTTCTTTCTTTCTTTTTTCTTTTCTATATTATCACCTCCTTCTTTTTTCTTTCTTTCTTTCTTTCTTTCTTTTTTCTTTTTCTTTTACACACATATGAGAGGCTATCACCCTCCCCTCTATATTATCTTTCTTTCTTTCTTTCTTTCTTTCTTTCTTTCTTTCTTTCTTTAAACATATGAGAGTGCTATCACCCCCTCTATAGTATCTTTTTTTCTTTCTTTCTTTCTTTCTTTCTTTCTTTCTTTCTTTCTTTACACATATGAGAGGGCTATCACCCCCTCTATATTATCTTTCTTTTCTTTCTTTCTTTCTTTCTTTCTTTCTTTCTTTCTTTCTTTCTTTCTTTTTTCTTTACCATTGGGGCTGTCACCTCCTCTATATTATCTTTCTTTCTTTCTTTCTTTCTTTCTTTCTTTTTTTTAAACATTTTTTCATTCTCTGTATCTTTTTCTTTCTTTTCTTTCTTTCTTTCTTTCTTTCTTTTTTTCTTTTCTTTACACATTGAGAGGGCTATCACCTCCTCTATATTATCTTTCTTTCTTTCTTTCTTTTTTCTTTCTTTCTTTCTTTCTTTACATATGAGGGGCTATCACCTCCTCTATATCTTTCTTTCTTTCTTTCTTTCTTTCTTTCTTTCTTTCTTTCTTTCTTTCTTTCTTTTTTTACACTCTATTCTTTTTTTCTTTATTTCTTTCTCTCTTTTCTTTCTTTCTTTCTTTCTTTCTTTCTTTACACATTGAGTGGGCTATCACCCCTTATCTTTTTTCTTTTCTTTCTTTCTTTCTTTTCTTTCTTTCTTTCTTTCTTTTTTCTTTCTTTACACACATATTGCCTCCTCTATATTATCTTTTCTTTCTTTCTTTCTTTCTTTCTTTCTTTCTTTCTTTCACTTATGTTTCCTCCTATATACTTCTTTCTTTCTTTCTCTTTCTTTCTTTCTTTCTTTCTTTCTTTCTTTAAACATATGTGAGGGCTATCACCCCCCTCCTTAGTATCTTTCTTTCTTTCTTTCTTTCTTTCTTTCTTTCTTTCTTCATCTGAGAAAGAATTTTTTTCTGTTGCTTCCTTTATTTTCTATTCTTTCATTCTACTTCGTTTTTCTTTCTTTTCTCCATTTCTACTTCTTTCTTTCTTTCTTTTTTCTTCTTTGTCTTTCTTTCCTTCTACTTTTTCTTTCTTTCTTCTGTTTATTTTGTTCTTTCTTTCTTTTCTCATCTTTTTCTTTCTTTTCTGATTCTTTTACTTTTGTTTTCTCTATTTTCAGTTCTTTTTTCTTTTCTACCTTCCTTTCCCCTAGTTTTAGAGAAAGAACTAGTTCTTTCTTTCTTTCTTTCTTTCTTTCTTTCTTCTTCATGTATTCTTTTTTGCCTGATTTCTTCATTCTTCATATTTTTTTCCTTGGTAACTTCGCGCCTTCTTTTCAGCCATTTTTTCTTCCTTTCGACATAATCTTATCAGGCGTTTTTTTTTTTTTACTTTGTTTTCAATAGAGATTGAGAGATCGCCAAAATCTGGAAGAGTCAAAAGAATTTCTACATTTATCCACTGTCGTAGTGTTTCCTCTTTGCGAATAAATCATTGGCCTGGTGTGATCTGATCAATGTCATTTGTACCGTTCCCAGTGAAATATCCTTCCTTACCAATCATATCTACTTTCATAGTTCCTCAGTATTACGTTGTTCTTGTTTATTGTTTGTTTTTCTTCTTATTATTTTTTTAAGCAATTCACCCCAAGCAAGGCGGCGGGGCCTCTAGCCCGCAAGGAGGTTACAGAAGATTCAGAACAAGAGTAAAGAGGTGTGTTCAAGGAAAGGATATAGAGAAGGGCAGGGAACAAGCTGAGGGTGTCAGATGTCGATTGACATTACACTTAAATATTTGAAGATTATAGTCACCGGGGAAACAAATAAGGGGAAGGGAGTTCCACAGACGGGAAGTGAGAGAGAAGAAGCTGTTGGAGTAGAAGAGGCGGTTACATTCAACCGTTTTGACAGTGACAGGGTGGGAACGAGATGCCAGCCTGGTAGGTCGCTTAAATTCATGCAGTCTGGTAACCAGCGACGGTAGCCCGTCGGAACAGTTGCCGTGAAAATACTTGTAGAAGAAACACATGGAAGCCACGGCACGTCTGTGGGAAAGCGATTGTAGACTAGATGCCAGATTAGGAGCTGTTATCTTGCATATTCGTCTCTGGACTTTGTCGAGGACCTCGAGACCTACAGCGGGGGCACCAGACCATATATGACAGCAATATTCCATGTAAGGACGGATGGTTGATTTATTGATTTGAAGGATGGACTCAGGCGAGAAAAAAACCTTCTGGCACGGCGCAGAGAACCAACTTTCCTTGCGGTAGATGAAGCTATTGATTCAATGTATTTATTCCACCTCATATCAGTGGACAGCGTGAGACCAAGCAGGCGTAACGAGGCGCTCTCGAGGAGTTGGGAATCAGCCATTCTGATGGGGGGCAGGAAGGGTTCTCTGTGGTGTGTAAAGGAGAGCAGTTTCTGTTTTGAGGCGTTAAAGCATAAGCCATTTCCTGCCCCAGTCAACTATTAGATTAGACTTCTTTTCTTTTCTTTTTCTTTCTTTCTTTCTTTCGTTTTTCTTTCTATTTCATTTTCTGTCACTTCCTTTATATTCTCTTCTTTCATTCTACTTTGTTTTTCTTTTTTCTTTCTTTCTTTTCTCCATTTCTACTTCTTTTATTTTTCTTCTTTGTATTTCTTCTACTTTTTTTTTCTTATGTTTATTTTGAGCTCTTAATAATTCGCTCAGTTTTAATACCATACATTTCTTACTTGGACTATTGTTCTCATCTTGTTGTTACCACAAAATTCCAGCACTTGTGACATCCGCAAACATAATACCAACCAAATACCGCTTAGATTAGAATGTTCAATGGATGTCAAGTTATAAATTTCCTCCTGTTCCCCCTCTTCCATTCTCCATTTTACTTCGAGTATTGAACTCACACTCTTACACAGGCGTTGGTTAGATCCAGTGACGGGACCCAAAGAGTGTGAGTTCAATAACCGGTTAAGGCAGTGGAGAACTTGGAGAGATGAATTAACAGGAGATAACTGATTACTGACATCCATTAAACATGGCACGTGGAACTAAAACAGTCTACTCCAGTGAGCGAAATAAAGGGTTCAGTTCGACATTCCAACCACCTGAAGAAGGCCGAAGCGTACAACGGCCGAAACGTTGTAATAAATATGGCGACAAAGATGAGGGCAATAGTCCGAATAATGTAAATAGTGTACATAATACCTCATTTCAGAAATATAGACAGATACTGAAAGGCCGAAACGTTGTAATATATATTGCGACAAAGATGAGGGCAATAATCCGAATAATGTAAATAGTGTACATAATACCTCATCTCAGAAATATAGACAGATACTGAGTAACTTGGGGTTGTAAAGTTTGAACCATTTTGAATCTTGTATGGAAACAATTTATAATCCAGTTTCAGAATCTTCTGAAGCGAAGTTCTGGCGATGTCTTTTAGGCTAATTCTGAATCCCCGAGCGATGTGGTGCAGCTTACAAGCCGATGGCGCCGTTTTCCTATAGAAATATATTATTACTAGATATAGAAAGTATCCCCAGCTCACAGTCCTCATGCTGGGAAGATATATGGACTCGCCGTTTCATGTTGGCGTAATATCTTCGATAGCGACATAGCAAATGAATCCAACTCTGTCGAATCTGTAATCCTAAATATGGCTTCTTCAGAAACAAAGAAGAATCTTCGGCAGTTACAGTTCTCGTTGAGAATTATAATATATAAGCCACTTTTTTTCGCCTTTTTTCACTCTGTTTGTTGTGTAGATATGTTTTCTCTGTGTGGTACTTTTTATATTTTATATACGTATTTACATATACGTATATAAAATTCTGTGTAAGACTTAGCGGTATAAAACACTGCCTGAGAACAAAGTATGTTTGTCATTCCTTTTTCCTTTTAGTCATTCTGTCCATAAGGTATTATATCATGGATATAATAATGCCCATAATGGGAGAAATACAAACCTTTCTTCCGTTAACTCACCTATCAGTCATCAGCAAAAGAAAAAAAAATCGCCCAAGCATCTAGGAAGCGTTTTAACAAGGGGTGGAAAACATTGAGATCCGAACACGCATTGAGGCTTAAGGCCATGTCACGTTCAAACATCTGTCCCCGTACGATCAGCGAAGTTAAGCAACGTCGAGTCTGGTCAGTACCTAGATGGGTAACCGCTTGGGAATACCAGGTGATGCAAGCTTGAATGTACAGATGGCATACTGGGCTTACGGTCACATCACTTTCAAACACTGTTTCTCGTAAGATCACCGAAGTTAAGCAACGTCGAGTCTGGTCAGTACCTAGATGGGTGACCGCTTAGGAATACCAGGTACTGTATGTTTAGATGTATAGATGGCATATTGGGCTTACGGCCACACCCCTTTAAACATCGGTTCCCGTAAGATCATCGAAGGTAAGCAACGTCGAATCTGGTCAGTACCTAGATGTGTGATCGCTTGGGATACCAGGTGATGCAAGCTGGAATGTACAGATGGCATATTGGGCTTACGGCCATATCACTTTCAAACACCGGTTGCCGTTAGATCACCGAAGTTAAGCAACGTCGAATCTGGTCAGTACCTAGATGGGTGACCGCTTGGGAATACCAGGTGCTGTACGTTTAGATGTACAGACGGTATACTGGGCTTACGGCCACACAGGTTGAAACATCGTTTTCCGTATGATCACCGAAGTTGAGCAACGACGTGCCTGGTCAGTACCTAGATGGGTGTCCATACCAGGTGCTGTAAACTTGACTGTGTGGTTTGTGAAATAGATAACGGCTCGGAATTGGCAATCGGAGATCTCCAATTCCAGTCGGGTTCGTAATATTTCTTTACGCGCAAACACACTTGGGTAAGGTATAGATAGATCTCTTTTTTTTCCCTAGCAGCTATGGGTAAACCAGCATAACTTGTATCAGCAATAAAAATGATTATCCCCCAAAAGATTCTTACTATTTGAAAATATTATTTTGATTTTAAATAACCTGCAAAAGTTGATAAGCCGTAATAAACCAATCACTCAATCAAACACGCACTGAATTAGCGAAAAAAGAATTCTAAAAGCTAAGTAAGGTGCTGAGAAACTGAAAAAAAATCGTTAAAAACAAAGAAAAGTGTGCTGGATTGCTATGGGATATCCATCCTCTTATATGGCAGTGAAGGCTGGACAGTCTCCCCACGGACGAGGAAAAAAAAACTAGAGGCAGCAGAAATGTTATCCTACAGAAGGATATTGAGAATTCCATGGAATTAAAATGTGAGCAACGACAAAGTTTTAAGGAAAATGGAAACAAAAAGGAAACCTTTACGTGGAATCAGACAGAGACGGTTAAAATATTTAAGACATATAATGACGAAAGAAGACCTGGAGAATATGACACTCACAAGACATATGGAAGGCAAAGTGGAAGAGGAAAGTAGCGAATAGCCTATTAAAGAGCTTGTGTACATGGTTGGCAGAACAGGGATTAGGAGTGATAGCAAAAGAACAAACCTTACTAAGAGTTACAAAGAACAGGAAATTGTGGAGAGACATGATCGCACGTACCCTGAAGTGACCTAGATTATGATTTTGGTTTTGGGAAATGAGTCGAGCCTTGAAAGCATAGCAAGAAGTCAAAATAGGGTGCTTTGTTACCCTCAAAGTTTTAAAAGTATTCCTCATTCCACGTTGGCAACTCGTTTTCTTTTACTCCTCCCACTACTCGTCTGAGTCAATGAGGGTGTGTAGCACGCAGTTGGGTGCAGTTGTAGTTCAGTAGTCGTGGGAGGTAGATGTCAGGGTACTATCTATTTAGGGTTAAATAAGAAGATATTATTATTTATTTTACGACCGTCATTATAGTTATATTATTTCATAGATTTTTATATTTTTTTTAATTTCATTTTTTATGTTATTTTTTATAAAATATTTTATTTTATTGATAACTGTTCAAAATGGTCGTCTTAATTCTCTTTAGGAATAATTCTCAAGAGAAATTAGGTTTTATTATCAGTGAAAAATGATATTTTTTTTTCCTCAGAGATAAAGTTATGTTTAAAAGATTTTTTTAAACGTGTAACGACCAACAACAATGAATCGAAGTTGAAATTTAAAAAATATCATACTCGATTAAATTGATATTTTTTTTTATATTTTGACTTTTTATTTTATTGTCCTAGTTTTAAACATTTGCAAGAGTGTTGAAAAGAATTTGATAATAAAATAACTGATTTAAAATTTGCAGACACATTCTAAAATGGATGAAAAAATATCGATGAAAATTAACACAGCAATACATTGCGTGGGTGCTGGAAATTCACATCTCATAATCTGACCAAACGAGCCAAATGAATTTTTCAACAAACCTCATATTATAACGAGTAATTTTAAAAAAAACATATTTTGCGATCTATTTTCTAATTACTGCTTCAGATCATTATTATTTTTTACTTTTATAATATTTTTAATTTTTTTCCATTTTACTATCGTTCAAGGAGTTGGGACCCATCATTGGATTGGATTATTAATTAGTGTCACGTCTTCTTTGCTTTAATTAACTCCTGCTATTTAACCCAGCGTTTCTCAATCTTTTTACTTTTGCGTAGCACTTTAAATAATTGACATGTCTCAAGGAACACCTGCGCAAAAACAAAATTATATACCATATCTTTCTCATTTTTTTTTCCATCGTAGTTCACGGGGTAAATATCATAGTATATATTTTTGAATAACTGGTTTAAGGAAAAATTAATATTTCTTTCTCAATTTTTTCGGTAATGCTAAATAAAATGCTTACTGTTCGTTTATTCACTCATTCACACACACACACACACACACACACACAAAATTCTAACCTCAAAGCATAAGTAACCAATATCATATACCTAGAAATGTAAACAGAACGAAAACAGATAATTGCTGCATCATTTTTTTAATTTCTTATCCTTTACTGGCAATGTTGAAAAGACATAAGGTAAATCAAGGATAAATGTCCTGGGAACCAATAAATGGGCTAAGAAAATGTTACTTTCAGAGCAATTTGATAAAGTGAAACATGCTTCTCTAATGTGAAGCTTTTGCCCGTCTTTTGCTACACAAATTTAAAAGAAAACTGAATAATTCATTTTTTTCTTAAAAATGTCTACAGTGCAATAACATGTACATTGGAGAGACATCACGGGCTATCTAAAAGCCCGCATCCAGGAACACAAAATAGATTTGCTTTTAGATAAACATTTAAATTCTTCGTATTACACCGCAACAACGTAGGATGTAAATTTTAATTTCACCAATGTTAGCGTAATCAAAAAAAAAAAAAAAAACAAAAACCAAAAAAAATAAAACATAACTCCTCAAAAGAGAAAATATTATAAACATATTTATATCAATATTACTAACTATTATTATGTTTTAAAAAACTACATTACATCACGATTTTTCTACAGATCCATTATTCATGAATCTAACTTATCTCTTCCGAATAGATAAAAATCAAGAGATATAATCTAATGGAAAAACTGTTCAAAATATCCTACAGCGTCTCACTAACTTTTACATACTTTAATATCCGGAATGTATTCTTAAACTTATTTGAATATTATCCATTACTTCCTTTCAGTCGACACGTATCCAATCAAAACAACCTACTGTATCTTAGTAACTTTTACGCTAGTCTCGAGAATGTTTGCCAGACATATTATTGCAGACTCTCGGCCCAGTCACATTTCTGTTTTTTCAACCCCCACAGAGCCCATCTGTGGTTTTATGCAACTATGCTGAGCAGACCTTAGTTACTAGTTGAGCGTGTTGTCTAGGAATGGACAACAATCTGAACAACGCCAGCACCTCAAACCATCGGTCACGATGACATGATTCATTTGCTTCCAAAGCTATCAAACTCCCTCAAGTGTTTCATCTACCCAATTTCACTCGTAACGCTGGGTCAACGCGTGGTATGGTTTTCTTGCACTTTTCCAAAGGTGCCGCACGCTGGATTTGGCGAGATTCGAACACGGGTCTCAAGGATCAGAAATCGAAACCACTCGGCTACGCGATTTCGTGTGACGCGTTTTGTCTTTTAGGACTTCGTCGGATATTTATTTATGTTGGAGCGACTACGCACATGCGCACAAGCGAGGGATGCTGAATGAAAAAAAATCCACTATTAGGATGAGGTTGAAATAATGACAGAGAACATCACTAGAAAAATACAAAACATATGAATCAGCATATGCTAGACAAAAAATCTCATAAGCCGACCAAGCATAGAAATGAATACAATATGGGAAACCAATATGGAGCTAGAAAAACAAACAATAATAACATAAAAACTGTAATATGAGCTCTGGTAAAAAATGTTTACTAACACATTAAGTTTATAAGTCAAAAATCCATGAACTGATGTGCCAAGTCGTTAAAAGCATTGGTTGAAGTAATCCGCATTGACCCAAAGTGTCGTGTGTTCAACCTGGCCACAGCAGAGTGAATAAAAAATAGAGTTGAGTTACTAAAGAGAAATAACTGAAAATGAGATAACCAGAAAAGGCATGGAACGTGGAACTAGAACAATCTACCCCAGTGTAACAAATAAAGGGTTCGGAATGAAATTCCAATCACCTGAAGAAGGTCGGAGCGTACAACGTTCGAAACGTCGTGAATATGACAATAAAGATGAGGACAACAGTCCGAACAATGTAAATAGTTGTAATACCTCATGCCAGAAAAATAGACACATAATATTCTTTATAGATAAAAATGTATATATCGTTATCTCATATATATATATATATATATATATATATATATATATATATATATATATATATATATATATATATATTGCAACAGACAGTTTACACAATGGAATCTACCCTTAACAATTGCATTATTCGGCAATATTTATGTTTGTATTATTAATCTATTTATTTAATCAAGTGTGTATGAACATAGTTACATTATGGTCATTTGGTGAATCTCAACTTAAATCAACATCGATATGCCGGGTGAATAGTCAGATACAAATTTTCCACTCCCTTGAACGGAAACACGTTCATAATTTTTGTTTCGTCCTTGTTCGTTTTTTTTCTTTGTGTCCGAATGACGCATGCGCAAAGCGGCCATAATAAAGTGCAATTTACGCCGATTCTCCTCTTGACGCCTTCGCCGAAGCATTAACTGATTAAACGAAGGAAGGACGTTTGTCTCAAAACAGGGCAGATATCAAATGTCATTTCAAAGGAAAAGATTAGGTGACGATTCAAAGAAAAAAGAGGCAAAGAAGCTGGAATGGGGTCTAGGCGTTTGGCCGATTATTTAGCCGTGGGTGACAGTAATCATGGCCAGCTAAAAGGGAGGTTTATGAAGGAGTTCTGTGCTCGGCTTGGAAGGGCCTCAAAGGACAAGACGCGCAAGAAGACTCAAAAGACGTATTTTTACGATGATGTGTGAACGTTGCGACTTTGTAATTATGGAAGCTGTTTGGGCGCGTCTCTGCCTACAAACGCTGGGACTAAAAACCAGGAACTGTCCGCCTTAAACCACAACTAAATATTACTACTACTACTAACTAGAAATGTCGACGGTTTTCCTATTTGAATTTTCTGATTAATCTTAATTCCTAAGTATATGATT